GGGTTGGTATTGCGGGAGCATGCTCTGAGGGGGACTGGAGGGCAAAGGTAGTGGCATTGTTGTCTTAACGGAACGGAACAGAGCGCAAAGGTAGTGGCATTGTTGTCTTGACGGAACAGAGCGCAAAGGTAGTGGCATTGTTGTCTTAACGGAACAGAGCGCAAAGGGTAAAGCAGTATCTTGACGTAACGGAGAGGGAGCGAGGGAGGAGGGAGGATTATCAAGTGGGTGGTGATTCGGCTATTGGGTCTCCTGCGGAGCAGTACATTGAGGTAGGGAGGTAAAGGAAGGGGCCAAACAGGCACGAAGGGAGCGAGGAGGAAGAGGACCAGGAGGTGGAGGAGGAGGTCGAAAACGGAGATTTACTGTAGTAATTTAGTGACAAGCATTAATTTTTGTTTGGGCTATTTGCTTCTGCTGCGGGGCTGTTTATTGACGTAGCGAGGTGGAGAGAGTGGAAGACACAGGGAGCGAGGAGGGAGAGGAGGAGGAGGAGGAGGAGGAGCAGGAGTGTGAGAAGTCAATTGGGTGATTACATCCATTCAGCAGGTGACAGCGGGTGACGTCAGCAGCGGTGTGGCTCTGATTGACGTTGCGTTGTCGCTGATCTAATTAGCGCTTGATTGAGGTGGCGGCGCGGCGGCCCTTGGACGGTCAAGATGTTGAATCCTCGATCCGATCAGTTCACGTACAAGACGACAGAAGTGCTGTCGGCTGCTCATAATTTGGCGGAGGAGATGTCTCACTCGCAGATCACCCCTCTGCATCTCGCGGTAGCATTGCTGAACGACGCTGATGGCATTTTTCAGCAGTCCGTGAAGGCAGCGGCGGGGGGGCGCAGCGACTCTCTGACCACTGTGGAGCGCGTCCTCCGCGAGGCTCTGGGCAAACTGCCCACCCAGAACCCGCCGCCCGATGAGATAACCGCCAGCCCTGCGCTGACGAAGCTGATCCGCCGGGCGCAGGCGGTGCAGCGGAAGAAAGGCGACTCTCATCTGGCCGTCGATCTGCTGATCCTCGCGGTCCTGGAAGAGTCCAACGTGGCCGACGCGCTTAAGAACGCGGGAATCAGCCCGAGCAGAGTGAAGGCTGAGGCGGAGGCGTCGAGAGGGTCGAAGCCGAAGAAGGTGGAGGATGCCGCGGGCGATGCCGGGTTCCAAGCGCTGAAGAAGTTCGGTCGGGATCTCGTCGAGGACGCGGCCAAACTCGATCCCGTCATCGGTCGGGACGACGAGATCCGCCGCGTGATTCGGATCTTGTCCCGACGCACCAAGAACAATCCGGTGTTGATTGGAGAGCCAGGGGTGGGGAAGACGGCGGTGGTGGAGGGGCTGGCGCAGAGGATAGTCCGCGGAGATGTCCCCAGCAACTTGATGGATATCCAATTAGTAGCGCTAGACATGGGCGCGCTGGTGGCGGGAGCGAAGTATCGCGGAGAGTTCGAGGAGAGGTTGAAGGCGGTGCTGAAGGAGGTGGAGGAGGCGGAGGGTAAGGTCATCTTGTTCATCGACGAAGTCCATCTGGTGCTGGGGGCGGGGCGGACTGAGGGCTCCGCGATGGACGCGGCTAATCTGTTCAAGCCGATGCTGGCGCGCGGGAAGCTGAGATGCATAGGCGCCACGACGATAGAGGAGTACCGCAAGCACGTGGAGAAGGATGCGGCATTCGAGAGGCGATTCCAGCAGGTGATGGTGGTGGAACCCAGCGTGCAAGATACGATCAGCATCTTGAGAGGACTGAAGGAGAGGTACGAGAATCATCACGGCGTGAGGATAATGGATCAGGCTTTGGTGATGGCGGCGCAGCTGTCAAGCAGGTACATAGCGGACAGATTCTTGCCTGATAAGGCGATAGATCTGGTCGACGAGGCGTGTGCGAATGTGCGCGTGCAGTTGGACAGCCAGCCGGAGGAGATCGACGCGTTGGAGAGGCGATTGCTCATGCTGCAAGTGGAAGCGCACGCGCTCGAGAAGGAGAAGGACAAGGCGAGCAAGACGAGGTTGAAGGAGGTCAAAGGAGAGGTTTCGTCGATAGAAGACAAGTTGCGGCCTCTGAAGATGAGGTACAGGAAGGAGAAGGAGAGAGTGGACAAGCTGCGGGCGTTGAAGCAGAAGAGAGAGGAGGTGTTGGCGAGCATTCAGGAGGCGGAGAGGCGGTACGACCTAGCGCGGGTGGCCGATCTTCGCTACGGGGCAATGCAAGAACTGGACAGCGCGATCGCGCGATTGGAAGACGAGTTTCAGGACGAGGAGTTTGTGACGGAGACGGTAGGTCCCGATCACATTGCGGAGGTGGTAAGCAGATGGACCCAGATCCCGGTGTCGAAGCTAGGCCAGGGAGAGAGGGATAGATTGATAAGTCTGGCGGACAGTTTGCGTCAGCGAGTGGTGGGTCAAGACGAAGCGGTCACGGCCGTCGCCGAGGCCATCCTGCGCTCCAGAGCCGGGCTTGCGCGACCTGGGCAGCCCAGCGGGTCGTTTCTATTTTTAGGTCCGACGGGCGTCGGGAAGACGGAGCTGGCCAAGGCCTTAGCGGAGCAGCTGTTCGACGACGAGAAGCAGATGATACGAATCGACATGAGCGAGTACCTTGAGCAGCACTCCGTCGCTCGCCTGATTGGTTCCCCGCCGGGCTATGTCGGGCACGAGGAGGGGGGTCAGCTCACCGAGGCTGTGAGGAGGCGTCCTTACAGTGTCGTTCTCCTCGACGAGGTGGAAAAGGCTCACCCCGCCGTTTGGAACACTTTGCTCCAGGTGCTGGACGACGGTAGGCTAACGGACGGTAAGGGTCGTACCGTCAATTTCAAGAACACTGTCATTATTATGACGTCGAATTTGGGCGCCGACCACATCATCCTGTCCATCACCCAAGCCTTGGACTTCAACGCGACCAAGAAAAGGGTGATGGAAGAGGTAAGAAGGCATTTTAGACCCGAGCTATTGAATAGATTAGACGAGATAGTCATCTTCTCGCCGTTGGATGCGGGGCAGTTGCGCAAGATCGCTCTCCTTCAGATCCGAGATATCGAACAGCGATTGGCCGACCGCATGGTCGCCCTGCGGCCGACCGATGCTGCGCTCGACTTCGTCCTGTCGGAGGCGTACGACCCCATCTACGGTGCCCGCCCCCTCAGGAGATGGCTGGAGAAGTCCGTCGTCACTGAGCTGTCCCGTATGCTAATCAGGGGAGAGATAGAGGACAACTCAGTGATAGTCATCGACTACGATGCGGTGAAGCGCACGCTTGTGTACCGAGTCGAGAGGAACGGTGGAATGATGGGTCCAAAGACGCACAACGCTGACGCGAGCCCGGCGCGCTTTGCTGCTGCTGGACCTCCTGGGAACAAGCGGCCGAAGCTTCTGAAGGGAGAAGACGACGACTTAGACGACGAAGCGGATATGGAGTAAAATTTTCTGCCCACGTGGATGGACGAAATGGAAGAGGTTGTTGTTGTTCTTCCCCCCTTTCTCTCCCTCCCTTTCGTAAGATGACATTGATGAACGTGTGACTCGTGTCGTGTCATCGTTTCCTTGGATGGATTGACGTGTGACACGTGGTGTCATCGCGTCCTTGGATGGATTAACGTGTGACACGTGGTGTCATCGTTTCCTTTGGATGGATTAACGTGTGACACGTGGTGTCATCGTTTCCCTGGATAGATTAACGTGTGACACGTGGTGTTATCGTTTCCGTTGGATGGATTAACGTGTGACACGTGGCGATGTCATTTTGTCGTATCTGATCGTCTGCATGCCCGTGAGTAGAGTTGTGATGCTTGTGACACGTGTCGTCGGTTTCGTGGATCGATGTGCGACACGAGAAGCGTATCTCGATATGATTCTCCTATCTGACATTTTCTGCATTTCCTTTCCGTGGGTAGCCGTGTGACACGTGTGATCAACGTGTGATTAATTTTTTAGATAGACGTGTGACACGTTGCTATATCATTTACGATTCCTTGGGTCGACGTGCGCGACACGAGCGAGAATCATATCGATCCTCTTGTCCGCTTTTCTGCATTTTGTGACATGTGTGCTCACTTTGTCGGGTAGACGTGTGACATGTGGCGATATCATGTACGACGTACCTTGTTTTTATGCCTGGTCTAGATTAGTGGGGTCTTCCTCTTCTTACGACGTACCTTGTTTTTATGCCTCGTCTAGATTAGTGGGGTCTTCCTTTTCCTCTTCTTCTTCTTCTTCTTCTTCTTCTTCGTTTTCTTCTTCTTCTTCTTCGTTTTCTTCTTCTTCTTCTGGTCTAGATCAGGGGGGTATTTGATGCACTCTGGTGTCAATCCAATTGTAATCGTATCTCCTTTTTCAGGTGGATATGTCTGTCTACCTTTCTGCTTCATGATGATTGACGAAGGTGGATAAGGCGATAAGGGGAGAAGGTTGATAAGGGGAGAAAGTGGGTATATCTGCATTCCTTTCGGGACAAGGGGAGAAAGTTGACTAGGGGAAGAAGTGGGTAAGGGGAGAAAGTGGATGTATCTGCGGTCTTTTCTGCTCCATGATTGCCAAAGGTGAGAAAGTGGATAAGGGGGAGAAAGTGGATATGGGAAGAAAGTGGGTAAGGGGAGAAAGTGGATAAGGGGAGAGAGAGAGGAGAAAGTGGATGTGCCTGCGTTCTTTTCTGGTCACAGTGATTGACAACGGTGGAAAAGGGGAGAAAGGAGGAGAAGTCTCTCAGTGGACAAGGCTAGAAAAGGGATGAGAGCAGGGGAAGTGGATGGATGGGTAAGGAGAAATATGTAGAATACTATGAGTGGGGAAGGAAATAGCTGGCGTGGATTAATCAGTGTCTGCTGCGTTGATTGGCGATCATCGACGGAAAGGAGGCCGTGTAGATAGAATTGTGAGGGAATAACAACCCGTCTCCCTACCCCCCCCGCCCCCCCCCCCCGCGGGGGGGGAGATATAACGTCGTACGGTCGTTAGAGCTGTATTTTTGGGCCAACATTCAGTCCAGGGACAGCGATAATGACCGTACCGTACGGTCAATCTGGGGTAAGACGGGGAGTCGAAGAAATTATTGGGATGGACGAGGAGCTGAAGAGGACTTGGCGCCCATCTTCCCCCGAATAGAACGCACGGTCAGGATATCAGTATGTGGTGCACCTTTCAGTCTAGATTCAGGGATAATAATGAACGCAAGTTCTAGTCCGGGGGAAGACGGGTTGCTGTTTTTAAATTGACGAGGACTGACCAGTTTAATTGAGCGAGGAGGACGTGTGGGTGTACAGTAGTTCTGAGGAAATGAAATGAGTTGAAGACGTTGTCTGACGTGACTTGATCGATTGCAGAAGTTAATCTGATGATGAGGTGGACTTGACAGTCGAAAAAGAGTAATTAGCCGTTTAGCTGACGTGGACTGATATTTAGCTTGAGAAAAAAAAAAAAAGAGAGTATTGGCCTTCTTAACCGATCTACACAGGTCAGTTGAAAGGGGCAATTAGCGTCCCAGTTGACGTGGATTGATCAGTTATATAAAAGATCAAATTGATCAGTAGAAGAAGTTAATCTGACGTAGATTGGTGAGTTGAAGAAGAGTGATTAGCTGTTTTGCCGACGTGGATTGAGCTTTAAATTTTTAATTGAAAAAGAGTAGTTGCCTGTGTAACTGACATGCATTGGTCAGTTGAAAAAGGCAATTAGGTGCTTCGTTGACGTGTACTGATCTTCCATAGGTCCCGCTCGTCGTTCCACGTGTCTTGACGAGTGTCGACGAGTTTTCCACGTGTCTTCCACGTTTTTTCGACGTGTCTTGACGAGTTTTCCACGTGTGATGAGTCTTCCACGTTTTCGACGTGTTTTCGACGTGTCTTCCACGTGTGTTCGACGTGTTTTCGACGTGTCTGCAACGTGTCTTCCACGTGTTTTCGACGTGTCTGCGACGTGTCTGCCACGTGTTTCCAACGACGTGTCTGCAACGTGTCTTCCACGTTTTTTGAACGACGTGTCTGTTCAGCGAATCTTCCACGAGTCTTCCACAGAGGAGGAAAAGGAAGTCGATCATTGAAGTGGAAGTCCATCACTGAAGTTGTCTTGCATGGAGGTCGGTCATCGTTCCACGTGTCTTTCAAGTGTGTGCTGGAAAAAGAGAGGAGGGGAGGCCGATCACTGGAGATGTCTTGCAGTGGGTTGACGTGAGAGAGTAGCTTTTCTGTTTCTTTTCTTTGTTTATTCTTTCAGTTGCATGAGAGTTTTCTATTTAGATAGGGAAGGAGAGGACCTGGTAGGCCGTGATTTCGAGTTATAAACTTGTCACCTCTCTCTCTCTCTCTCTCTCTCTCTCTCTCTCTTTCTGTCTCTCTGATGTTCGGTCCACGCAGTGGATGCGTTGCAGGGTGTGAATTCACACTCGGACTTTGTGAATGGAATCAGTACGCAATTGTGGTCCAGGTGCATTCAGGGAGACAGAAGTGCGGGGATTGCTTTGTTGAGGGAGGGGAAAGGCCCATAAGTTGCTGATGTAGCTGCTGTGGTGGGGACCACCAGGTTCCGTTATTAGCCTGATGATGGATACTGCGTCTGTACAGAAGTGGATTTCGAGTCCCGGTTTATCTAATAATGGTGGGGACCACCTGGTTGCGTTCTTACCCTGATAGTCAGTATAGGCATTCTAGTGCGGGGAGTGTTCTGCTTTCGCTAATTTTTTATGCGGAATTTGGACGACAATGAGAATAGAGGTGGGGACCACCATCTGGTTGCGTGCGTACCCTCGTAATTTCTTTTTTCCCACCGGAAAATAAATGAAAGTGAATTTCTTTTCTCATGGAAAGAAGTTTCCAACGGAAATGGAATGACGTCTTATCCTTCTTTTTTTTTTGTTTCGTTTTTTTGTTTTTTTTGTGTGTGAAGGGAATGGCGTCTCATTTCTTCGTCAAAATTTTTCCCTTTTTTCCCTTTTTTCCTCCTTTTTTTTCCGATTTTCGCAAGAGAAATGTAGCTGTCCTATGCTGGATCACGTCATGAGATCGATTGACATTGGAAAAAAAAAAAAGGAAAAAAAAAAAAAAAAAGG